GGCAGCAGCTATAGAGCGAAAACAGAGTCCACATTTCGGGCCCAGTGACTGTTCTTTAGAATAAAACAAAATGACTTTTTAATTAGGCCAAGCAGCATCATAGGAGCAGGAAGGCTGCATTTTGGGCCTAGGCCCGAAACGTCATCCTTCCTGCTCCTATGATGCTGCTTGGCCTGCTGTGTTCATCCAGCTCTATACCGTGTTATCTCAGATTCTCCAGCATCTGCAGTTCCTACTACCTCCGACTTTTAATTACCCTGAATGCAGGAATTCAGTCATACATGACAAGAAATAGAAAGACAAAGGAAGTTAATTTCCAGAGCAAGCAATAGGACAGGCAGAATGGAAAGTGTTAGGAATCTAACTTCAGCCACATCAGATAACGGGACAACTATGAGAAGAGGGGCAGTCAATGCAGGACTGTGGGTGTTGTACTTAAATGCATGCAGGATACAAAACAAGGTAAATAAGTTTGTAGCCCAGATTGAAATTGACGGATACGATGTTGTGGGCATCAGACGCAGCTGCAAGGATATCAGATCTGGGGACTAAATATCCAAGGATATGCTTCCGATCAAAAGGACAGACAGATGAGCAGAAAGGGCATGGTTGCTGGAAAAGTTCAGCAGGCCTGGCAGCATCTGTGAAGAAAAGTCGGAGTTAACATTTCGGGTCCGGTGACCCTTCCTCACCGGACCCGAAACGATAACTCTGATTTTTTCTTCACAGATGCTGCCAGGCCTGCTTAGTTTTTCCAGCAACTTCTGTTTTTGTTCCTGATTTACAGCATCCACAGTTTTTTCGGTTTTTATTTAGAGAGGGCATGCTTGTCTTGTTGGTGAGAAAATGAAATAAAGCCAATAGCAAGAAGTGATATGGAGTCAGAAGGCATAGAATCTGCGTAGGTAGAAGTGAGGAACCGCAAAGGAAAAAAGACCTTCATGGGAATTATGTACCGGCCTCCTAGCAGTCATCAGGACGTAGGGCAAGAAATAAATCATGAGATAGACAAGGCACTCAATAGTCCTATGGGACTTCAATATGCACGTAGACTGGGAAAATCACTTTGCAATGGATCTCAATGAAAGAAATTTGTGAAATGTCTATGAGATAGCTTTTTGGAGCAGCTTGTGGTAGGGACTTGGCAGTCATAGATTTTGATGATGTGTAATGAGGCAGAGTTGACCAGGGAGCTTAAAGTGAAGGAACCCCTAGGGGGCAGTGACCATAATATGATAGAATTCACCCTGCTGTTTGAGAGGGAGTAACTGGAATCAGATGTAACGGTAATCTATTTGAATAAAGGTAACTGCAAAGATATGAGGGAAGAACTGGCCAAATTTGATTGGAAGGGATATCTTGCAGGGAAAATGGCGGAGCAGCAATGGCAGAAGTTTCTGGGGTAATTTGGGAGGCACAGCAGAAATTCATCCTAATGAGGAAGAAGAAACGTACGAAAGGAGGACGAGGTAACCATGGCTGATGATTGAAGTCAGCAACAGCATAAAAACAAAATAAAAAGCAGACAATGTGGTGAAGATTAATGGGAAGCCAGAGGATTGGGAAGTCTCTAAAAACCAACAGGGAATAATTAAAAAACATAAGGGGGAATTAAGATGAAGTATAAAGATAATTTAGCTACTAATATAAAATAAGTTGGGCAAGGGCTTTTTTTTAGACATCTAAAAGGTAAGAAAGAGGCAAGAGTGGACATTGTCCACTGGAAAATGAGGCTGAAGAAGTAGAGGCGATCTTTCAGGAATCATTGGGTATCAGGGAGGGTCCCAAACGACCAGAAAATGGCTAAGTGTTTAGGAAGGGAGGGAGGCAGAAGACAAGAAACTATAGGTCGGTTAGCATCACTTTGGTTGTTGGTAAGATTTAAATCCATTATTAAGGATGAGATTGCACAGTGCTTGGAAATGCATGGTAAAATAGGGCTTCATCAAGCAGAGGTCATGTCTGACAAATCTGTAAGAATTTTTAAGGAGGTAAAAAAAAATGTTAGATGAAGGAGATTTAATGGATGTGACCTATTTGGATTTCTAGAAGGCCTTTGACAAGGTGTTGCACAGCAGGCTGCTAAATATGACAAGATACCATGGTGTTAGGAGCAAGGTGCCGGCAGGGATAGAGGATTGACTGACTGGCAAAAGGCAGAGAATGGGGATAAAGGGATCTTTTTCAGGATGGCAGCTGGCGACCAGCGATGTTTTGCTGGAGTCATTGTTGGAATCACAACTAATCATGTTATACATTAAAGATCTGGACGAAGGAGCTGAGGGCATTGTTAGTAAATTTGCAGAGAACACAAAGATAGGTGGAGGGAGAGTTATTGTTGAGGTAGCAGGAAGGCTGTAGAAGGATTTGGACATGCTAGGCAAGTGGGCAAAGATGTGGCAGATGGAATACAATGTGGAAAAATGTGAGATGATGTATTTTTGTAAGAAGAATAGGGGTGTAGATTATTTTCTAAAGGAGGGAAGACTTCAGAAATCTAAAGCACAAAGGTACTTGGGAGTCCTAGTTCAGAATTCTGTCAAGGTTAACATGTAGGTTTGGTTGGCAGTTAGAAAGGCAAATACAATGTTAGCCTTCATTTTCAAGAGGGCTAGAATACAAGAAAAGGGATACACTGTTGAGTTTCTATAAGGCTCTGGTCAGACCGCATTTGGAATATTGTGAGCAGTTTTGGGCCGCTAACCTATTACTAAGGAAGGATGTACACATTTTGGAGGGTGTCCAGAGGATATGGACAAGAATAATCCCAGGTCTGAAGGCCTTGTTAATGAGGAGCAGTTTAGGAATCTGGGTCTGTACTTGCGGAAGGGTAGAAGGATGAGGGGTGATCTGATTGAATCTTAGAGAATACTAAGAGGCCGGGGCCAAGTGGATGTTGAGAAGATGTTTCCATTAGTTGGAAACACTAGGATCCAAGGCACAGGCTAAGTGACCCTTTATACGAGATGAGGAGGAATTTCTTCAGCCATAGGTTAGTGAATCTTTGGATGTCATTGCTGCAGAGAGCTGTGCAGGCCACGTCATTGTGTGTATTTAAGACAGCGATAGATAGGTTCTTCATTAGTAAGCCTGGAAGTGTTAGCTTGCTTTTCCTGCATGGATGCTGCCTGTCTCGTTGTGATCTCCAGCATTGTTTGCTTCCATCACAATTTGTTAGGAGCTAAGTAACAGTCGAAGTTATTTGTATCCCTGCTAGACCACCCACAACGCTGTGATCTCTTCTGACTGTCTGCAAGGGTCCGTTAACCTCATCCACCCACTAATGATTGGGAACAAAGCCAATCATTGACACAGCTACATGGAGTATAAAATAATGGGATTTCCTGGAATTCACACGGGTTCACAAACACCAGCTGCTGTCTGAATGAAATCTGACTCTGCAATGTTACTGACCACAGTACAAACTCAGGGGGAGGAGTCAGCACAGTTACAGCATCGGCAGTCACTGTTCACGTGCTTGTCAGATTTCAAACTGCATCCATTTGAAGGTGAACTCATGTAAATTCCCGGAAATCTGGTTAGTTTGGGTAGAGGTCTCTTTTCACGATTGTAGAAAGTCTTGATCTGCCCCATATTCTCATTCATCCCTGTAAGGTCATCCCTGATCACCCTGATATTTTTATATTACTAAATGTTTCGTTTTGCGTAAAGTTGTGTTGCAAACTTTGAAAATGCCTTGTAGATGAAAATCACTGTTTTGACATCCACCGCATTTACAATTGATGCTTGAACTTTGTAAGTAAGCAAACTGTGCTCCTTCAGTTGTCACGTTACAGGATGATCCATTTCTTGTAATTCACGACATTCAGCTCAGGCGTGTGCTTGCTTCCTCATATAATCCCAGGGATCTGTGCCAAGTGCGGAAATGACCTTGTTCTCTGGATCAACTGCAAAAAGCAGAACTAAAATTTTCCACAGTCAAATTGAAACTATTCACTTAGGTGATGAATATCTAAACTATAATCTATCTTAGTTTGATAAATGATTGCTGCAAACTTTTTGAGATATTTAAATTGTCAGTTGATAATGCAGTTCGAACAACAAACAACGAAAATAAAGTCTGACAGTCAATGATTTAAATATTTGCACTGGAACAAAAATTTTGAAGATATTTCTTTTCCAGGACTAACATTACAGAATTAAAAGTGGCATCTCTAAATAAATCCAAAATGACATTTACACCATTTCAACTCTTTCTAAACATGAACATTCAGATCTAAGAGTCACAGCAGAAAGTAAAACCAATGAAAGACAGAAATGTTCTCTGTAAATTTTAAAATGCAGTTCCGTTGATTTGTCTGTGCTTACTGTTAGGTTGATGAAAAGGTCCCCAGTGACTGAGCTGTGAGATCTACAACTGGATTATTCTGCAGATCATCTGATGTTAATTGCTTTGGGAAAATCAATAAAAAGCATAAAACTGGTGCAGTTTGATTTTTGCAATTTTTATTGTCTTTGAAACTAATTAATAGAAAGGAACGTATTATGACCAGTACAAAAGGACTTGATAATTTACAAGATAATTTCCAAGAACACAGTGTACAACTGGGAAAATAATTCAACTTGAGAATGTTTGGAAAATTGACTAATATGTTAATCACTCAGTAGTAGATCTGGCAACTATATCACTTTTACAATTAAACTCATTGGAAGGCAAATTTGACATTGTCTCTGCCTAAACTTTTTTTTTATACTTTGGCAAAGGTGGAAATTTCTGAAAGTTGCATTTATTTTAAATCTAGATTAAATTAATTCAGTTTACCTGGCCTGCCTGTTGCTGATATGAATTACGTAACATGCCGAAACTCGTTAAACTGCAACATGAAAGAAAGTTGACTCAGAAGCAGGGAAATTACCTTCCACAGAATTTTCACAGCTTTTACTGTTTGAGATTGTACAGAATGAAAGTAGAGGATCTCCATAAATAGGGGGTTATTTGGGCCCGTCTTCAGCAGAACTTCATTCAGGATAACGAGTGACACTGAAGTAGACAACAGATCCTGCAGCAGAAATCCATTCAGCAACAAAGTCAAAGATGAACAGAGCAACAGTTATAATGACTGTCATCCTGCTCCTGTGTGCTATTGCTGCACAGGGTATGTCAACATTTCTATCTTGGTATTTTAGATTTTCCTGCAGTATAGTATGGAAAGGAGTCTTTCTGCTGATTTATTGAGCAGCCATACATGTCTGTGTGCTTGTTGGCTGTTCATTAAAGAATTTACAGTCACTGATGGTACATGTTACTGATAATATGATGCTTGTTTTAATACTGAATTCAATGTTAAATAAAAAGTCAACATCCTGTCAATGACAACCAAACTTAAAATTGAAATGCAATTTATTTCATTCACAGGTATTCCAATCCTAGATACCCAAGGACGGTGTCAGTGTCCCAGGACCAGCTCTGATTTTATCAATCCAAAGATCATCAAGAATTTACAATACATTCCCAAAGGACCACATTGTGAGACACAAGAGATAATGTGAGTAAATGGGTCAAAATATCAACTTTAATGTTTCTCATTTCTCCTCTTTCTGGTTAGATGCAGTAATATTTTTGTGAATATGTTGGATCAATTGCAATTTCTTTACGTTGCAGATTTTCAGGATTGTGTTTGCGTCATTGATTATAACCTGGCATGGGAGACATCCAATTTCTGTGATTAGATTTTGACAATTTATCTTCTCTTTACAGCATCACCACGAAAAAAGGGCAGAGATTTTGTGTGAGCCCTGATGCCGAGTGGGTGAAGATTATCATTAGATCCAGGAAAGGTTGGTGCTTGTAAACATACATACATTATCTGTGAATAAATATGCTTGAGTGAAGTGCTTTTCTCATGTTTGTCCTCAGCACCTTGGCCAAGGCTTTAACTCCAGCCCATTTATGTTGGCTCCTGTTGCATTTTTTTACTTTGTTCCTAAATCTGATATTTGTATGTGAGCTGCGACAGTGAATGCTAACAAGATATTAGTCCAGGAGGAGCTGGGCATGTCACTGGTCAGTAACCTGGTGCAGGAATGCTGGGTGATTCCATGCTCCAGCACCCACGGTTGTCATACCTTCAGCTGATGTCGGCCAATTCAATGTATCCTAGTGATCAAAACAGAGTCTTTAACTCCTTTTCATGCTTCGTTCCTTCATGGTCAGCTCCATGATATTCTGCTGTGCATTGTAAGCAGCCTTAGTGCACAGTTCTTAAACATTTTGTTATCTGTTCTATCTTAATGTAGAAAGTGATAATTTGGCAATATTAATTGTTCACCACAACTTCCTTGGATTCTGTGTTTAATAATATAATATTGTAAAATTAATGAATTAATTGTTTGCGATCTTGTTTAACAGTGCAGTCGATAATGCCCCATAATTAAGTTTGGTGAAGATGTCCTCAGTATTGAAGTAAATATCTGCACTGCGGGAAATTTAATAATTTATTCAATTTTATTTCAGGTTCCAGGCCACGAAACTAAGAAATGAAGCTGCAATGGGATTCACTTGATTGCAGACCGAGGAATGTGCTGTACAGTGAACACTGAAATGAAGGAAGGTCCCTGCAGGGCATTCACTTTCTGATATCACTGTTCAGTATGTTGTTTGACACTTCCCCTACATTGACTCTCTGAAATGTATTTCACTGTTTAACCCTCTAATTTTGTAATTGTATACACAGAGCCTAAGAAATCAGGCTGCTATTGTGAAAGTTTGTGCCATGTTGGAGGTTTTCTTTTCATGGGATGTGATTTGTAGGATTAATCCAAATACGGTCGAGCACTGTCAGCAAATACTATACGACTGAAAGCAATTTGTTAACTTTCTCCCTAAGTATTGGAAAATAATTTCTGATCATCAAAAGGTGCAGGTAGTAAAGGAAATATTAACTTGTGAACTTAGGAAGGGATCAAAATAAAACAGATCTGTTGATTTTCAAATGCTTTTGATATTCAGATAATTGGTAACATTTTTTCAATAGTTTGATTTATTGACTATTAGTAAAGTATTTCACTAAATTTGTGCATTGCTGCCAAAGCCCTCACCCATTCCTTTATGCATGTGTGAATGTGCTGGTAAGCTACTTTGTTGAACTGTTGCAGTCCTTGTGGCTCTGAAGAGAGGAAAGATCTGATGGTAAAAAAGGATAATGGTTGAAAGCAAAATAGACAACAATGGGGCAAGTAAAGGAACAAAAGCTGTGTTTTGAGGGATGTAAATCACCACAGTCCAAACAGAAGATGGAGGTGCAGGCATTGTGATTGGAAACTGTTTACCCATAGTGTTGATTCTGGAGGCTGTAAAGTGGCCTGTCAAAAATTGAGGTAATGTTTCTTGAGACAATACTGAGTTGTATTGGAACAATACAGGAAAATATGGACATAGTATTTAAAGTGGGAATTTAGAAGCACTGTAGTGTGACATTGTCTCAATCTCAGTTACAATCCAAATTTAATCTTTAGTTCCAGTTTGAATGAAACCTTTCATGTCAAAATTCAAGATCAATTGATTGACATTAACATTACCACAATTTTACTGTAGTGTTTATCAATCACTGACATTTTAAGTAAACCTTGGGAATTTGTTGCTATGATATCAAACCTTAGGATCTATCCAAAGCTGAAGTCTGTGAGAAGTACGTCAATAGAAATTATATTACATGTTAAATGGTTACGTTTATCACGTAATATTAACAGGCATTAACAACATTTATAAATAAAACTTAGCTCTGTGAAGGGAGATTTTTGTACTGAGAGATTTTCATGCTGGAAGTATATTGACTGCAAGTTTCAGAACACTTTGTGTAAAAGTTGTCTTGTAAATGTGAGTGTCACTCCGAAAAATTGTTATATGTACCTGAATTGTATGTTTACGAATTGTTTGAGATTTTTTGTACCTTTATCCTTGTGTACTTAAGTGACTAAAATAAACAAGATTTCATGAAAAATGCCTTGTCAGTGTTTTATAATCATCAGCTAAACAATTGTGCAAATTCTGGCAAATTTCACTGGGTTGTATCATGTCACTGACCTACTCCCCCAGACTGGCACCATTGTGAACTGGATGAATAGTCTGTTAAAGAGTAATGTTATCAGAGTCCATGGTGCAACACTTGTGTGCATGTTCTTTCCATTGTAACTCATCTCAAAATAACTGTGCAGGGTGTTCCTACATTCAATGTGAATTTACGATAATTGTAAGTCACCCTGAGCCAAGCAACAGCCAGGTCACTGCAGGAGTCAAAGAGATGACCAATGGAGACATAAGAAGTAGCTTAATCATCTTAATCATCATTGCTTCTTGCGACAAGGACAGAAAGAATTCTCCTCCAGCTCCCACCCACTTCATCCTCAATCCCATGGAGTCCATGAATTTCTGTCTTGCATCTTACTCACATTCATAGCATCTCCTCTCTACTATTTCCATCAGCACAACACTAACTTCCACTAGTGACTGGTCAGATTGTCACATTGTCATGTCTTTGGGAAAAGAGCTTCCACTAGTTGAGGAATCTTTGATATTCAATGGTGGGATATTAATTTTCTTCCAAATTAAATGTGGCAATAATCTCTCAACTGAAGATGGTCCGGGGTAATATATCCGTTTGCAACAGCACAAAATTGTTACAATGCAAAAAGAAGCCATTCAGCCCATCATGACTAAGCTAGCTCTCCGAATGAGGATCTAAGTTAGTGCTAATCTCCTGATCTCTCCACTTGATTCTTATGAAAGAAACATGCTGCAGATGCTAGAAATCTGAAATGAAAACAGAAAATGCTGGGGAAACCTCAAACCAACAACCTCATCTGAAAAACACCACCAGTAGATAAATCAGTGTATCCTTACTGACATTCCTTTAGTTTAATCTGCATTTTACTTAAGCAAGTTCAATCTCGAGTACTCTATAATGAATACGTTGTGGTTGATTGTGTTTTTTTTGTTAAAAACAGATTATGTATGTGTGTGTTAATAGGGAATAGGATGTATTTGTACATTTTTAACATTTTGAAATTATTTTTACCTTTCAGCTGGTGTTACTTGTTTAACTCACAAATTCCTGACTGGCTGAATGTTTACAAACTGCACACGGTGAAGTACCTATTGAATTGGCAATCCAAAACATTTTTGAAATTCAAAACCTGTTGCAGTGAAGTAACTTGTGGGAAAAGATGATAATCATTCTATACATTTGCTCATTTGAAAGCTTGGGGTCAATTGTAAACACAGTGGAGCAACTATATTTCTGGATGTTAGAAACAATCGTTTTTCATCTTCAACACTTTTCAAAGTCTGCAACTTTATATGAAACAAAATGAAAGATTTAGTGTTCCAATTTAACAATATCAGGCCAGTCTGAGGTGAGCATGCCTGTAGCATGAGAACTTGAACAGATTTGAAACTGCACTCTAAGCAACCAACGTTAAAACCTACAATGAAGCTTTTATGTTACAGAATGTCCTATTCAACTTTAAAACATTAAATCCATTCAAAATCCATAAGCCTGATTACATGGGAGGCCAAGGAGTGTAAATTAGAGACTGATTTAGTTTTTCTGATTTGCATCTATGTTTGCATTTTTATTTACTCAGTCATTGTGTGTGTGTGTGTGTGTGTGTGTGTGTGTGAGTGTGTGTGTGAGTGTGTGTGTGTCTGTGTGCGTGTGTGTCTCTGTGGTAGAGCAGGGGATGTATGGTGGAGTCCGATAATGCATCAGGTTGAGGTAAGTGTATGTGAATAAATACGACTCTTTCATTTTCAACTCACGAAACTGGCTGCTGAAATTTTAATTGCAAAGCACACTCTAAGGGTATGAATAGGCACACATTTTGATATAAAACATACTGATAACAAACGGAATGAGTGTACATGCATTCTGTCTGTTACAAAGCATTTACCCAGCTGCGGGCTATGTTTCAGATCAAGTCGATTGATCATCACCTAAAAGCAATCATCTCACCGGCTTGTTACTAGAGCCTTAGTAAGATTTCAGTAAAACAAAACTTATAGCACTAATCAAATTTTTTATTTATTTGTCATCATATTTCTAATTTCTCGCAAAACTCCCAGTCCACCCCAGTGCTACAAGAGATCTCATGCTTCTCACACTATGGAACCCCTTGTGCTGACTCAGCCATGTGAATTAATGACCATAGTCCCAGATTCCTGGACATTAGCAATGCACTAATACAAATCCCTGACGTCGGTCATGAGTCTGATGGTCTTTTTCCAGTACATACAGGCCCTCTGATGTTCAGCTTACCCATGTAGTTACAACACATCGTTCCATGCATTATCTAGTACTGTGTGTGTCTTTTTTTCAGTACAATGTAGAGTTTCACATGGAGCTGGTGGACTTGGTCCCTGTCTTTGCCCCCTCTGTACTTTTCCAGCTCCCCTGGTATCAGCAGGCACATGACAGTCTGGATCTCTTGGGAACTGATGTTGCTGCGCTGGTTATAATGGGCCAAGGCAGGAAGCAATTCCCGTGCTCTCAAATATCATTGACAAATGAAATAATTAAGGTATTGGCCTTAGAGGAGATCCCAGTGTTGGGGTGAACCTTTTTCATTAGTCTGTAGATTTAGGTGCTGTAACTTTTGGGCAACACAGTGGTTCAGTGGTTAGCACTAGTGCCTTGTAGTGCCAAGGACTGGGCTTGATTCCACCCTCGGGTGACTGTCTGTGTGGAGTTCGCACATTTTCCCTGTGTCTATGTGGGTTTCTTCCAGGCGCTCTGGTTTCCTCCCACAATCCAAAGATGTGCAGATTAGGTGGACTAGCCATGGTAAATGCAGGGTTATGGGGTTAGAATAAAGTCTGGGAGCTCTGCTTTCATTGGGTCAGTGCAGATTATAAGTGCCTAATGGCTTCTTTCAACACTGTAGGGATTCAATGATTCTAAATTTCTCCCCTTTTTGCCACGCTTCGCCTGAGGCCTGTTCACTGCTTTCTTAGCATCCTTCTTGGCACCTTGTCCTTCCTTTTCCTTAACCATATTGATATTCTATCTGTGTGTTGGCAAAACCTGGAATGATTTTCTCATCTAAACTGTTTTCAAATGCTCTGGAATTTTGATCCAGAATCCAGGCTGCTATATCCAAGTGTTTGCTTCCTGTAGTTTTAACTTACATGAAACCTCACCGAAAACATTTGTTGACCCCAGAACAACACCATCTGACAGAACTATAACACCTATTGCACTGGAACAGCTCATGTCACCCTTCCCGGAATGCTTCACCGTGACACCGACTGCGAGGACACCCTTCCCAGAATGCTTCACTGTGACACCGACTGCGAGGACACCCTTCCCAGAATGCTTCACCGTGACACCGACTGCGAGGACACCCTTCCCAGAATGCTTCACCGTGACACCGACTGCGAGGACACCCTTCCCAGAATGCTTGACCGTGACACTGACTGCGAAGACACCCGACTGTGAAGTAACCCTTCCTAGGATGCAATTCATGACCTTCAGCTCAGGTGTATGCTTACTTCATCATATAATCCCAGGGATCAGTGCCAAGTGTGGATCAGGACATCCGGAAAGTGATAGCCCGTGACGAAATGAAAGCTTCCAGAGTACCTGGAGCTGATTCAAATTTCACCTTATGTTTGTAACATTGTGTTGGGGCTATGACTGTGCTGACTCCTCCCCCCAGCGGTTGGTAATATTCCAGAGTCAGAGTTCATTCAAATAGCAGTGAGTGTTGGTGAACTTGTGCATTCCAGGAAATCGGATGATTTTACGTTCTAGTAGCTGTGTTAATGATTGGTTGTGCTCCCATGCAGTGAAAGTGGTGGAAGAGGTGAAAGGGCCCTTGCATACAGTCAGAAGAAATCACAGCATTGTGCATACAGTCAACAATTAAACATTTTGTCTTACCATATACTTTATGATCAATATATCATATGGAATAGCAGCATTCAACAGCAAAAATAAAAGATTGCATCAACTTGGTTTTGAGATGTCACAGTTCAGTAATTCTCCACTTTCACTCTGACCTGTGTCCTCATTCTGATACACTGTTCCAAAAATACTCAGTGTAACTGAAGTATCATAATCTCATTTTCTGACTGCTCACTTTACAGCTCTCTGCAATCAACATTCAGTTCAACGATTTCAGATCCTTTCCTCTCCTCCGTGCCTAAGCCCCACCCTACACCTTTCTTTTAACAGTAGTGGTTGGAAGTGATTCTGCATTTTCTCCTTTGCACCTCCACTAGACATAAATTTTAATTCTTCCCCTGCAGCATTACTAGCTCTAACAAATACAGAAATTGCTGAAGAAACTCAGCAGGTTTGGCAGCTTCTGTGGAGATAAAGCAGAGTTAACGTTTTAGATTCAGTGATCATTCAACAGAACTAATAGTTGCTAGGAAAAGGTGATATGCTAAAGAGAGAGGTTGAGATGTGGGGGTAAAAGAATGAGAAGATAGGTTGAGACAGAGCCCAAAGGGAAAGAAAACCTGTTGGGCAAACAAAGGGACGGGTAATGGTAAGCCAGGGAAGGAGAAAAGCTGGTAATGGGGGCTATAAGTAGGTGAAAGTAGGTTGGCTGTACTGAAAGCAAGCCCATGTGATGACAATGCCTCGGGTGAGGAGGTGGGTGAAGGACATGGAAGAAGGTGTTCAGGCCCATTACTCTCTTCTTTGACCATGTTACATAATCCATTTTGTCATTAAATCTCTCCTATCTACAATGTTAGTACAGGCATTTCCTTTTGTTTTTATCTCCTGTTCTCAAACAATTTCCAAGTCTTTTTTCAAAACTGTTGCATCTTTATGTACTTACAATTCTGATGAGGAATCATCCAGCTAAAG